ATATATGGGATGGAAGGTGGGTGGTGATCATTTCCGGCAGATGTTCTCCATGCCAAAGATGCCAGTGAGATGGAGTAAACTGCTCTCTCATCTGAGCACTCCAGCCAGTAAATCTTCAAGAGATGGCATCCACTTCAATTTGTACTTGGGAGTATTTTTAATTAAAAACAATCAATACCCCAAAGCTTTTATTTTCTGGGTTTCAAATCACAAATCACAGTAGAAGAATGTCAAACTGCCTTCGCCTGGTACTACTGAAGACACATGTAGCACTATGAGAAGGCCTTTTCTTATAATGCAGTTTACTTTCAGAGCCATGAACGTCATCATGAATGAAACAGTACAGTGGTCTGGAAGTGGTCCTTGGTTTCTTCTGAACAGTTTTACTTAATGCTACGCAGCACTCCTCCCAAATGCCCAGTAAGCCTCTGCATTGAATTCCTTAATAAACACTAAACTAAAAGATCATAGAAAACAAAAAGTGTAAAGAAGGTGCCTCTAAGACATATTTACACAAATAGCATAGTCTCCCAAGAAAGACCAGGATCTCATTATAGTGGAATGTTTTTTTCCACAACGCTGGGTCCATGCCTCATTTGTCAAATTAACCCCATTTGAGGAAAAACTTGAGTTTGTGGTCCATGGATTTAAAAAAAAAAGAATTAAGCAACTTGTAAAAGCTCTTTAGGAATTAATCTAATAACCCATTGGCTTCTTGGCTAAGTGCTTCAGTCCTGTCTGAAACCCAGTGGGTAATAGGTTTTGTTTCCATCTGACCTCCTCTCGCACTTTCATCTGCCGGCTCACGTTCGCCCCAAATTAAAAAATGAAAATGCATCATCAATAAGGAATTACAAAATGGGGAGTAGATTAAAGATGGCAATGCTTAAATTAAATTGACGATGCGGAGACCATAAACTTCTGGCTTTAAAAATGAGCTATTTCTCTATTAACTTTTAGCAAGTGTGTGAACCAAGGCATTTTCTTTCCAAGGAGGTATCGCTCCACGTATTATATAGGGTCGAGGCTATGGGATTTTCAGTCAAGTTCCCCATCCTCCATGGAGATGCCAAAGGCAGATTTAAAATGCTGTAATAGCTACTGAAATTTGGAGGAGACCACAATTCTATATTTTCTAAGAAAAGAAAACTGCTTTTCAGACCTTAGGAAATTGTTCATCTTCCTAAAGATTTACACTCTAAATCTTAACCTTTCTGCTCTCTTAATCTGATATAGAAGGCTGGATTGTCACATTATCATAAATAGGGAAGGGTGCTTGGATTTTTTTTATCTGCTGTCACAATTCAAAAAATATTTTATCTAAATAAACCCCCCAAAATAAAATTATACTAAAGCAATCCTTTTCAAGAGGCTACTTTTCCAAAATAGTAGAGATCATGGCTTTTAAGAGAGTTCTTTCAACATAATCACAGTACTTTAAAACTAGTGACTATCGTTAAAAAAATTATTTGGTGTTTTGGTTCCTGGGCAAAATGCACTTAGAAGTACCTGATTTCAAAAGTTACTTTAGGCTCAGAAATCAACTCTGTTCTTTCCTTTCATCTGCTTACATTTTACAGTCTTCAAGAGAAGAGAATCAAAGACCATCCAGCCGTTATCTGTACATTACTATATCTCCAAGGAAGTATTCATTTCAAGGCAAAACATTTTACATAAGGTATTATTAAACAAATCAGGACAACTAAAATTTATGTACTTAAAAATGAAATTAATGAAAACAACCTAAAGTTAATTTGCTCCTAAAACAGAATAAACTCTTTAAAACTTTATGTACAATTCTTTGGGAGCTGAAGATGAATACTAAACCACAAATTTTAACACCAAGTTAAAATTGAATCAGCAGGTTTGTTCCATCTGAAAATGGAGTCAATTTGAATCAAAGTCTCCCTTCATACACTTCAACTATAATTTGCTTAGCAAATTATGGTAATAAATGCTAAGAAAGCTCTGAAACAATATATATTTACTATTCCCAGGTCTCCTCTCTTGTGGTTCTGTGGAACCACCTTCACTTCTTCCCCGATTTGATTAAGATATGTATATATATATATACATATATTTTATTTGGCAACAGATTTTTCCAGGTCTTTCAAGGAGAATGTGGCCATGAAAGAAAGGGCTTTCAATTTATGTGCAATTTAGGTTAGTGTTTGAAAGTGTTTCAGCTTATTTAAGGGAACATCTTGCAAAAAGTACCTCCCTAGAATAGAGGGCTAAACATATCAGAAATGCTCCCGAAATTCTTGAAATAACTCACAAAAGCAGTCTGCTTATACCTGATAAATTTTAGTTTCTTAGCAAACACTAAAGTTTTACCTCTTCCAAATTTCCTTTCATTTTTCTCATCACTGACATCTAATATTAGGACAGAGCTATATGAAAGCTGAAAGAAAACTGATTTTCTTTTCCAGGAGTCATTCATGTTGACCTGGATCCTTGGCCTCATATCTTACTGGTGGAATGATATGAGACCAGACAGATGATGGATTTGTGGCTCTAATTATTTCCATGAGGTCAGAGTCTTAGTTGCAGGAAAATATTACTATGCCTTCAAATTTAGAAGATCCTAGTGCTAAATATTCCAGCTATAGTCAGAAATGATTTAATTTCTTAGATTCACTTCATCAGATTTTGTGGTAAGAGATTAAACAGTTATTTCAACATTTAATCATATCAACCTGTTCTTAGTACACTGAACCATCTTCAAGTTGGGATAAAATACCGTGCCAATTATAGTTCAAATAGCCCACTACAGAATCACTGGCTTTCGCTTATGAGGAGAGAGTAAACCTTACCCTTAACATTGGAAATTGCTAGCACCAACCCTCAGACATTCCAATTAGTGCCTGCAGTTCAAAGGGAAGATTTCTGATGATACCCTTCTTTTACAGGACTATCTTTCTTGATTAAACTTGTTACATGACTTGAAACATAAGGATAGAGAGCTCCTTAATTTTACAGTAAACCATGTGGTTAAGGTGCTGTTCTATTGCTCTACATACTATTTCTTATGAACTTTACTAAGCTATCTTTTCTCAATACCTATCCGTGACTATGGTATCATGAACTCATTACAGTGACACCTTTCTGCATTTTTTTCTTGATGATGTGTGTGCGTGTGTGCATGCATGTGTGCGTGTGTGTGTGTGTGTGTGTGTGTGTGTGTAAAACCAGCAAAGAAAACCCTGAAAACAGGAATTGATCCAAACACAAAATACTTGTTGGTTTATAGGGAAATCCATTACAAGATAGGAGACCATTCAGGAAACACATGGAATAATAGAATTGTAAAATTTTTTCACTCTAATTCAGGAATCCAAAAAAACTACACTTCTTTTATTTGAAAGGTGCTGTCATTACTTCTTGGGTATAGGCCTACTGAATACACCACTAAACAATAGTATATTTCCAGATAGAAAATATGTGCTGATGTGACAGTACCCCCCAAATGGAAATGACACTAAGATTATCTGTAGAAAATTAACATTGATTGAAAATAAATCCCTAAGACTAATAATTGAAGTCAGCATATTCTTAAGTACATATTGTATATACACCAAGACTGCTTTTTTTCTTTTTTTCTTTTTTTTTGACGTTTCAAAAAACAAGGATGTTTTTATAACAGTACTTTGGAAAATTCTGATGACTGTACAATGTAAGATTCTAATGATAAAAATCATTAGAACAGTCATATGAAATAAATGCTTTCAACTTGCCAAAAGGATTAGCTCAGTTCAGTTGGGTCCTCTGGATAATAACTATGAGGCTAATTGCATAATTAGAGAAAGAACAGATTGGATGGGTTGTACATTACTTTTCTGTCATAGTTTGAGATCATTACTTTTTCAGTAGTTCAGAGATAAGGATAGTGGGGATGTCAAGGAAACAGTTAAAGCAATGAAAAATGATGCTGCTTTGGAAAGTCAACCATCATTTTAATTACAATCTTGTTGAGGGGATTTCCTTTTCCCTGTTTAAACATCTTCTGAACACCTAACACATAGACTTTCATCATTTCTATCCTAGCATGTTATATCAATTTAGGAATGTTTCCGAATGTGAAGGTTAGGGTATCAAGTTCAAATGGTTGGCTCTTTCTTACCTTCCCATCAATTCCCAGGGTGGGATTTGAATTTTACTTAAAATCAACTTTTGCTAATGCAACTTAATGTGTAGGAAGGATCTGAAGAATATGTATGATTGTACTCCATATTGCTATTTTCAAGTATATTAGAATAATATTGACAACTAGAGACAAAGGACTTAAATTTTTGTCTTGGTATAGTTACTTCAAGAACTTTTAAAGAATTAAGACTTATTTGTAATTTGCCCCTGAATGGCAGGCATCATTTCAAATAATCCATCCATTTGTTGGCTCAAACTTAGAAATGTCAATATCTTTATAAAAACATAATTAGTTGTTTTCCCTTTTCCTATATACAGTACAAGGGACAACTGTGACATGTCTAATAAAGAATCAATTATGAGTTGGTGGCAAGGAATGATATCCTTTTATGGGGGTGAGTGTTTAAAGCCCCCAGTTAATTATCTTTTAAACAGGAAACGTGGATGAATCTGATATCATTTTGAGTAGTCCTGGGAGCAGAAAAAGTTCTTGAAGAACAATCAGCCTGGGCAAATGTTACTCTTAATCCTTCGTGACAGAAACACACACCCATACACAGGGTTCATTATCTCTTGGTAAGTTCATATGCCACGAATACCTTCCCAGGGCTCCTTCCCTCCTCTCTTTAACTAGGAACTCGATAATTTCCCCCCTCCCCCCGCAAATTCTGGAAGCACAATCCCTCATCCATGAGCTAGTGAAATGTACAGCCAGAGCCCAATGCATCAACGGGGAGGAAAAAAAAAAAAAGACCGGTCGGGTGGGATGGAGCCTGAGAACCAGGGGAAAGAAAGGTTGATGCTCCCGGCCACCTCCCCACTCCACACACACACGGGGGTTGGGGGGCGGGGGGACACCAGGGGACTGTGACATGGGTCAACAGGATGCACTAAAAAATAAACCTTTGCCTCTTGGAAGCTCATAAAAGTGTACTAGAAAAAAGTCTCTAACATCGACTCCACACGACGGCAGCCAGGGACTTCTGCGATGGGGCGGCACAGCGCACCCAGTGGGTAAATAGAGTCACAGAGGTCAGCGTCGAATCGGAATTGGGGTGGGGGTCGGCGAAGGCCACCGATTAGGACTCCTTGTCGCTGTCCCCGCCGCCGTACATGTCGGCGAGCTTCTTGAAGCGCGGGCCCCAGTCGCTCAGGTAGTCGTAGTCTTGGTCGCCGTCGGTGGTGACCGAGTCCAGCGAGCTCAGGGACTCGGCCACCGAGCCGGTGCCCTCGTAGGCGTAGGTGGCCAAGGAGTCGTAGGGCGGCGCCGTGGGGTCCGCGTCGTTCTCCTTGAGCCGCTGGGTGATGAAGTCTCGCACGTCGGTGTTTTCGCGGGTGCCGGCGGGAGTCCGGCGTGGCAGGAAAAGGGTCTCGGGGACAATGTCCCGGCGCAGTTTGCCGTCCTCGATGGCCTCGGGGTTGCGCAGGGTGCCGATGTCGAAGGCCTGCGTGTCCTCCTCGCCGCCGCCCTCGTCGTTGTAGCTGACGATGTTGTCGCGGATGTCCTCTTTGGAGATGATCAGGGGCTCCTTCTTGCGCTGCCGCCGGAGCGCGGCGAACAGCACCACGGTCACTGCGGGGACACGGAGCACGGGACGGGGACGTGAGCGTGCGACGCGGAGCACGGGAAGGGGATGCGCGACAGGGAGGACGGGAAGGGGATGCGCGACAGGGAAGACAGGAAGGGGATGCGGGACACGGAGCATGGGAAGAGGATGCGACACAGAGGGTGGGAAGAGGATGCATGACACGAGGACGGGAAGGGACGTGAGCACCTGACGCTGAGCATGGGAAGGGGACGTGAGCGCACGACGCGGAGCACGGGATGGGGACGTGAGCACGCGACGCGGAGCACGGGAAGGGGATGCGTGACATGGAGGACGGGAAGGGGACGTGAGCGCGCGACACGGACCACGGGAAGAAGATGCGTGACAGGGAGGATGGGAAGGGGATGCGCGACAGGGAAGACAGGAAGGGGATGCGGGACACGGAGCATGGGAAGAGGATGCGACACAGAGGGCGGGAAGAGGATGCATGACACGAGGACGGGAAGGGGACGTGAGCGCGCGACGCGGAGCACGGGAAGGGGATGCGCGACCGGGAGGACGGGAAGGGGTTGCGCGACAGGGAAGACAGGAAGGGGATGCGGGACACGGAGCATGGGAAGAGGATGCGACACAGAGGGCGGGAAGAGGATGCATGACACGAGGACGGGAAGGGGACGTGAGCGCGCGACGCGGAGCATGGGAAGGGGATGCGCGACACGGAGCACGGGACGGGGACGTGAGCGCGCTACGCGGAGCACGGGAAGGGGATGCGGGACACGGAACATGGGAAGAGGATGCGACACAGAGGGCGGGAAGAGGATGCATGACACGAGGACGGGAAGGGGACGTGAGCACGTGACGCTGAGCATGGGAAGGGGACGTGAGCGTGCGTCGCGGAGCATGGAAAGGGATGCGCAACACAGAGGACGGGAAGGGGACATGAACACGCAACACGGATGGAGCACGGGAAGGGGATGCCTGACACGAGGATGGGAAGGGGACGTGAACGTGCATGGCTCAGCTCCTGGGAGCAGCCGGCAATGCTGGCTCAGGTTTGATTTTTTTGGGGGGTCAGGTCACACCCTGCCAGTGCTCAGAGCTTAGTCCTAGAAGGGGGAGGGGACCTTAAGCAGTGCAGGGGACTAGACCCAGTGTGCCTGCAAGCAGGGAGACAGCCTTCACCCCAATGCAATTTTCCAAGCTCACTAAGTCTTCTAAGTTCAAGAAGTTCAACTAAATTACTCAGTCTTCCAAGTTCACTAAGGCTTTCAAGTTCACTAAGGCTCCCAAGTTCACTAAGGCTCTCAAGTTCACTAAGGCTCCCAAGTTCACTAAGGCTTTCAATTTACTAAGGCTCCCAAGTTCACTAAGGTTTCCAAGTTCACCAAGCAAACTGCAGACTCAACAGGGTTGCTTTCAGGATGCTCAGGATCAAACCTGGATCCCCAAGACTGAAAAGTTACCAGTTAAAGGGAGGATAAAACATCCTTCTACTTTGTCACTAGTTTTGTTTTCTTCCTTCCTTCCTTCCTTCCTTCCTTCCTTCCTTCCTTCCTTCCTTCCTTCCTTCCTTCCTTCCTTCCCTCCCTCCCTCCCTCCCTCCCTCCCTCCCTCCCTCCCTCCCTCCCTCTCTCTCTCTCTCTCTCTCTCTCTCTTTCTTTCTTTCTTTCTTTCTTTCTTTCTTTCTTTCTTTCTTTCTTTCTTTCTCTCTCTCTCCCTCCCACCCACCTCTTCACTCCTTCCTTCACCTCCTTCCTTCCTTCCTTCCTTCCTTCCTTCCTTCCTTCCTTCCTTCCTTCCTTCCCTTTTTGGCTTTGAAATGGCAAACTAGTTTCAAGGTAAGGAAATATATAATACAGTCACCAAGAAAAAAAAGTTTCGCCACCGTGAGGTAGGCAGCAAGAGTGCCAATTATGCTGAACACCTAAAATGCTCCGAATCTGCTTATAAGCACAAGGCTGGCACCTTCGGGGATGTGTTGAAGGCTTTGCATAACTTCACATCTAAAATAACTTTTGCACTATGCTTTCTTTTTTCCCTGAGAGAAGTGTAAAAGTTTAAAACCCAAAGTAGAGACGTTTGCATACCTTTCTTACGCTTAAGGAAATGGCAGTGCAGTTAATACCCAGAGAGGCTCTGTTAGCATTCAGAAAGTCATTTGGACTTCAAGATCAGCCAGTTTGAAGGCTATGCAAGAATGCACATGTAGAAATTATTTATGATAAAAAACCCCTTTTTTGCGGGGGGGGGGGGGTTGAGCCAAACAAGCACAGATAACTGGGAACTTAAAAATTAAAGGTTCACATTTTGTAAGTTTGTTTCCAGGTTTATTTATTTATTTTGCCCTTCAAACTGAAATTAGAGGGAAAACAGGAATTATGTCTAAATAGCTCCGGAAGTTTCTCACAACTCATTGTATGGAACATGCCTGGCTACCTGTGGAGAAAAACACCTATAAATATGGATATATGGCTGGGAAAATATAAATATAGCCACAGCTTGGAGAAAAACCCAGCCATCCAAGGAAAAAAGTACTTTATTAAAACGGTTTTGTCCAGGAGTTTATTACAGAAAGCACTAGTAATAGCACTATGGTCTCTCGTCTATAAATAACATGGTCCCATTTTTATGAGCCATAAAACTTGAATTGTTGCAATAATAATTACAGAATAATAGCTGTTGGTGGCTATCTCTACCTGTATAATAGTGGACATGCACCCTCACATGCCTATATATTATAGTAAACATTTAAATATTAATAGTATTGATAATACTGAAAATAAACGCCTGGTCAAGATCCTTGGTGGTAGGATGGTGGTGATGGTGGTGATGGTAAAGAGAGACAGAGAAGAAACAATATGTAATAATCAGGAAATGATTAAAAGGATATATTATATTATTTAATCATTTAATTAAAATGATTAAAAAGTGCAATGAAAGCAAGCAAAAGTAAAGCAGAGTGAGAATGCCTCTCATGTTTGAGGGGAATTTTTTATTAGGGGAGAATGCTTCACAGAGAAACAAGAAGTGATCTGGATGGGGGAGGGAGAGAGAGAGCAAGAGAGAGAGACTGAGAGAGATTGAGAGGGAGAGAGAAAGACTGAGAGAGAGGTTGAGAGAGGGAAGAGAGAGGAGAGAGAGAGAATGAGAATGGAGAGAGGTTGAGAGAGGGAAGAGAGAGGAGAGAGAGAGAATGAGAATGGAGAGAGGTTGAGAGAGGGAAGAGAGAGGAGAGAGAGAATGAGAATGGAGAGAGATAGAGAGAGAGAGAGAGAGAGAGAGAGAGAGAGAGAGAGAGAGAGAGAGAGAATGAGAATGCCTGGAGCTTCTGTGAGGCTCCGTGAATAGATCACCTGGAGGAGAAGAGTGGGGAGGGTGAAGGCTTGTGGGCTGAAGAATTTTGTCCACCTTCACTCACTATGGGGTGTGGTGTGGCTGGGTGGAAGATGACAAAACTTTGAGCAAAGGGATGCTTATAGTCTATCTTTTACGCCACTGGTTCCTGGTGTGACCCATGATAGATCTGTCTGATACTGAGACAAATTTAAGGACAGCCTTTGGGAATTTGAAACCATATTGAAGCCTCTACTTCTCAAAAAAAAAATAATGCTGATGCATATGGGATTTTTTGCATCCTTTAAGACAAGAGCACAGGTTTTTACGCTTTACAACTCTTCCTGTAGGTTACCGATGTCTTTTGGTTTTAGTTCTGTCATATACGGAAGTGCAACTGAGAGAGTGCGTGTTCAGCAATGGAAAGGCATTTCATCACCCCTTGATACTACAGTTATCACCTCCATACCTTATTAGCATAATGCACGCATATCTGTTTTTTTTTCTTTTTGGGTCACACCCGGCCATGCACAGGGGTTACTCCTGGCTCTGCACTCAGGAGTTAGTCCTGGTGGTGCTCAGGGGACCATATGGGATCGCTGGGAATAGAACCCGGGTCGGCCACGTGCAAGGCAAACACCCTACCTGCTGTGCTATCTCTCCAGCTCTAATGCACACATATCTGAACAGAATGTTTCAGTCCACTTTTTGGGAGGGCAGGTTGGGCCATACCTGGCAGTGCTCAGGAGTTACTCCTGGCTCTGCACTCATGAATTACTCCTGGTAGTGCTTGGCAGACCATACGAGATGCCTGGGATTGAATCTGAGATGGCTCCTGCGAAGCAAACGCACTTCCCACTGTACTGTCTCTCTGCCCCTGAACGGAATTTCTTGAGAGTTTCGCAGGCAATAGAGTTTGTCAGCGAGATCTTTCCCTGAAGTTGAGAAAACTGAAAATGTGAGTCCCCTGAGAAAGGAATGTACTGATGAGATTAATGTTCTTAGTACCTGAACCAATCCTACTCCCTACCTTGGGAGGTGGGTGCCCAAGGACAGTAGCAACAATTTTTTTGTGATAATAGTGGTGGTAATAGTATGGACAAATTGTGCTAAAATCTTTCATAAAACTAGAAAATAACAAGGCATCTAAGATCAGCAGACAAGAGTTCATGTAAATAATTTCACCTTTTGAAGTCTTCTATGAAAGACAAGTAATCCTAGCATGCCCGGTGTTCTGGTTGTGAAAGTTTTGTGAACTTTCTTGTGCACAGACACACAAGAGATAGTTGTTTATTCTTTTTTCTTAATTTTTGTTATTTTTGCAGGTTTTTTTTTTTTTGGTAAATAAATCGGCAACACAAAACAATAGAGACCTCCGTTACACTTTTCACACTCTAGACTTCTTTCTATTTTGACAGGGTTTGCCTCAAGCTTTATTCCCACTTTCTTTGTTGTCTCATTTTTGTCATGTTTATTTTTTGGGCCACACCTGGTAGTTCTCAGGACTTACTCCTAGCACTGTGCTCAGGGATTAATCCTAGCAGTGCTTAGGAGATCATATGTGGTGCCGGATATCAAACTGGGGTCAGTTATGTGCAAGGCCTTACTGGTTGTACTATCTTACCAACAACCTATGTTCTCTCATAATCATCTCAGATTCTCTTTGAGCCTGCAAGCTACCTTGCATCAAATGGGCTTGAAAGCACTGAGGCTGGGGAAAGAAGACCTGGGCTGAGGATGTCATTCTACCATTTTAAACAGTGGGATTTGGCTCTGTGATCTCACATCTTGGAGTCCCAGTTTTACATTGAACCAGCTGATAAACATAAACCAGATGGTTCTGAGGATTAAGTGAGAATGACATGTACAAAATATTTTGCCCTGTGTCTAGCCCATGAGGCAGGCCTAAAAAAAGGTTAAATACCATTTCTTCCTTTTAAAAAAATTAGACATGGAGTTCTGAAGAGATTAGATGTGGGAGGAACTCAGCCAAGTGAACTCTCTGCAGGAGGTCATGGAGAGGGAAGGTGAAGGGAGGCAGCTGGAAGGAAGAATGGGGAGGAAAAATGGAGATTCCAAGAGAAAGAAAGAGGCTTCTGGGAGAGGAGGGTTGATTCTCCTAGGGAGCTCAGGGAATTCTACCTGAACGAAGCACTTGCAATCCACCCCTTCTAAAAATATAATCTTTTCTGATGGAAAAGAATACTCATATCCTTCTCTTCCCAATTTTTTTTACAGACTCACACTGTTGGAGACACTGATTTGTATTTGCATACTGTCAGTTTTTATTTTTCTGCCTCTCCTAAAATACTTGCTCCACATCTTAGTTGACAAAGAGAATTACAGTTCTGTGGTGGCGCTTCAACGCTTCTGTTATAATTAGCAAAGTTGGTCCAGATTGTGAAGCTCTGGAGCAGGGATCCCAAGGCATTCTCCTCTTGGAGGAATGTGGGTTTTCCATTCAATGTCACTCTCCCTCAAGTCACTCTATTGTCAGTATTTGAAGAGAAGCTTGCCACTATAGTATAATCAAGGTTCATTTTACCTTTCTTTCTCTTCCTCCCCAACAAAATGTTTAAGTTGGGTACAAACTTAATACCTTAAGTTAAACTTTAAGTAAAAGTACAGACTTTGCTTTGATTGTTGGAAGGGTTGCATTAGTTAACATCTGGTTTCTTAGTTCACAATATGGGGCAGGAGTAGTTGTTGAGTTCACACCCTGGACCTGATTGGTTGGGAGTCAAAATTCTCATGGGACTCACTGTAGACCTGGATTTTTTTTTCTTTTACTACAGGAATGCCTTCTAGGTTTGATAGATTTTCTTTGTCACAGCAGTTATTGAGAGTCTGAGAAATAATAGGGTAATCTGATAGCAATGCTAAAAAGATGCTTATTTAAATGGTCAGATAAAAATATGTTTGCTGGGCTCAAGAAAACTTCATAGCTTTTGATTTTACTACAGGAGAGAGAAAATGAAATCTACTAGCTGGGACTCTTTAACCTTGACCTTTGTCCAAAGGGCCTTCACCATCTACTCCAGCTAGAATGACTTCCACTCTTTAAAATTTAACAGCATTTGCCCAGTTAAATATTAATGCAGGAAATGAAAAGGGCATATTGACAGGACCCTCGAATTCCCCCAAGGGTCACTCCCAGTGTGATAGACAAAAGACTCTGGGTCAAAGGATTTCCCCCTAGTATGGGCAAGTTTCACACCAGTTTGCTTTCCAAAGCCAGTTTTTTTTTTCTTTTTGTGTCACACCCATTGATGCTCAGGGGTACTCCTGGCTCTAAGCTCAGGAGTGCTGTACTCCTGGCGGTACTTGTGGAACCATATGGGATACTGGGGACTGACCCGGGGTCGGCTGTGTGCCAAGGCAAACACCCTCCTCGCTGTACTCTGGTCCCCAAACCAATTTTGAGCCCAGGGGAGTTCATGGTTGACTAACCTTGACTCTCAACCCTGGAAACTCAGCTCCCCTCGCTCCAGCTGTCTGCTTTAAGTAATGGGGGAAGGGAAGGCGAGAGCGATGGGGCAGCAGTTACCTAGTAAGGTGATGATGCACAGGAGGATGGCCACCAGAGCTCCTGTGCTCAGCCCTGTGGGGTGCACGAGGGCCTCAGCATGGCAGGACTGCATGTTGCCATGGTGGTCGCATGCGCACACCCTGACGGTCACTGTCCCTGTGCTGCTTTGGACGGGGTAGTCATTGTCTGAAATGACCACGGGCAGCAGATAGGTGCTCATCTCGTGTCTGTTGTAGCCATTCCTGCGGGTCAAGATGCCGGCTGTGTTGTCTGAAATGGGAAAGCAGAGGGGTGTGTCAGTTGTGATGGGGACAGAAAGCCAGAGCAGGGGGGAGGTGATGAGGGAGGAAGATGATGGTCCTTTACCTTTGTTATCTCGAATGGTAAAGTTGGTGCCACTGGCAGCTTCGGGGGCCAGAGAGAAGGAGAACTGGTGTCCACTGTAAGGATCATCCTTGTCAACAGCTCTCAGGGTCTGAATCAGCTGCAAGCAAAATCATAAAGTCTTGCTCACTCACAAGGGCACCTTCTAGTGTTGTAGGAAATTTCCAGACTCAATTGGATGCAAGGGATTGAACCTGGGTTGGCCACATGCAAGGAAGGTGCCCTACACACTGAACTATCTCTCTAGCCCTGATGACTGCTCATTTTATTTATTTATTAAAAAATTGAGTCCTAGTGAGATACACAGTTACAAGGTTTTTCATGATTGAGTTTTAGTTATATAATGTTCCAACACTCATCCCTTCACAGTGTACATTTCCCACCACCAACGTCCCCAGTTGCCCGCCTCCCCACCCCTGCCACTCACCTCTGGCAGACACTATTCCTCTCTCTCTCTCTCTCTCTCTCCTCCCTCCCTTCCTCTCTCTCTACCTCTCTTCCTCTCTCTCTCTCTTCTTTTAGGTAGTATGGTTTGCAATACAGATACTGAAAGGTTATCACGTCTATCACTTTACCTACTTTCAATACTCAGTTCTTGTCCAGAGTGATCATTTCTAATTATTATTGTCATACTGATTCCTTCTCCTCCATCCTAACTGCCCTTTGCCCTCTACACACTGTGGCAAGATCCAACTAATGACCCGTTTTCCTGGCTTTGGGCATTATTCTCATATGACTTTTTTAAATATCCTGCAAATGAATCAATGATTTCTCATTTTAATCAAAAAGGCAAGGGAGCTTCTAAAGTACTTGCAGCAAATCCCTCTAGCAAGGGACTAACTGACTCATGCATGAGCTTGGCTCACACTTAGCGCTAGGAAGTGTCCTTTATTCTGTGGGAGAGTCAGCATGTCCCTGGCTTCTTTTCATTGGATGCCAGTAGCACCTTCTTTCTAATGGCACTCAAACATGTTCCAGGCATTGTCAAATGTCCTTTGGGTGGGGTCGGGAGCGGGTAGAGGGAGACAGTCCCAGGTGAGAAACACTGCCCTGGAGCAGAGTTCACAAATCTTGCAGTGATCTATGACAACACTGCAACAGAGAGACTTGTAGGCATGCCTTGGGGACAGCCTGTTTGGGAACGCAATCTTGGCATCTCCAGATGCCATATAGGAGCCAAAAAGCAGAAAAGAAAATCTGTTTATAAAACACATAACTCCAGCTTCCCACTTTAACATGTATTTGAATAGTGCACTTCTATTTTGATGAACTGTGACATACTGTTTATATCACTGGCAGAAAAGACCTATTTCAGGTGGGAGCAAATGTGTACAATGGGGGAAACATTCATGAATTTATAGAACTCGGACAGATGGGCAATGTAAATAAGCAGAACTATGAATTACAGGCAGTTGTAAAATAGCTGCTAGTTATTACTTTCCAGCATATTGGGTGATTGAAATGATCTGCTCACCAATAAGGAGGAGATTAATCTATTTGACCCCTGTTTGTTTGTTTGGGGGCCACACCTGGCTGTGTTCAGGGCTTACTCCTGGGCTCTGCACTCAGAGATGGCTGTTGATGGGCTCTGGGGACCCTGTGCAGTGCTGGGTCGGCTGTGGGAAAGCCTTAGCCATTGCAGTATCTCTCCAGCCCTAGGACTCGGTCACGGTCACGGTCCTCCCGTTGTTCATCGATTTGCTCGAGCGGGCCCAGTAACGTCTCCATCATGAGACTTGTTGTTACTGTGTTTGGCATATCGAATACGTCACAGGTAGCTTGCCAGGCTCTGCCGAGAACTCATCTATTTTAATGAAAACTTAAGACTGATTTTAAGTCAGATTGTCTAGGTTTTTTTTTTTTAAACTGTTCTCTTAAGCAAGTTTAACATTCATCCTGGTTCTAATTTATAGTGCTAATTTGCTTAGCATTCACTTCATTGATAACTGACAGCTAGCCCTCAGCTGTGTCCGTCATCGTCCCAATTACTGCAAGATCTAAATTAATCTGACTGAATTAATTTACTCTCTTATGAAACTCACCTGGTCTGCTTTTGCTTTTTCACAGACAAAAGTTTCATAGAATTCAGCAAATTCTGGGGCATTGTCATTGACATCAAGAACTTTAATATAGAGAGGTACTCGGCTGCTTTGCTTGGGGTTATCTGAAACATGCCACAAGAAAGGAAGACATTTGTATGTTGATCACCGATTTCCCCTTTTGACAATGCTCAGTCCTTTCCCATTCATCACAAATTCCCCAAGGCTGCTAACACCCAGCATGAAGTGCCCATGTAGTGACATACTGAAAAGCAGAGTTAGATTGTTTGGGGCTGCTGGGGTTGGATACACCAGATGGTAGTATCTAGGAAACCAAGCACCTTGTATTGGTAAAAGATTAGTATATAGTAAATCTCATTGTAACACAAAATAAGGAAAAGAAAGAGGCCTTTTAGGGTAATGATAGCAGGCAGATGGAAAGATAACGTTTAAAAGGGGAATGATGAATGATTGGAAATTGGTCTTAGTTCTTTCAGTGTGGAGCTGGGCACTGCATGCTAAGCATTTGGTTTATCTTCTTGATTAATGCTTATACACTTTGGTAATGTTGTTAACCCCCCCCTCCCCACCACCATTTTATGGATGAGGAAACAACCAAGGCCCAGAGAAGTTACACCATTTATTCATGTTCACAGAGAGGGTAAGGAGTGGAGCTTAGATTCAAACGTGGACCTGTCTGGCTCTAAAGCCCAGGCTATTCGTCTAGGGTAATGATGGAGATAAGTCATTGATGAAGACCTGAGATAAATCAAGTATTTGAGTTCTCTTCCATGATCATTTATTGCCTGTTGCTGTGAGGAAGACAGATATCTTGTCTAAGAATCAGGAGTAGGAATCTCTTTACTTCAGATTTCTTTATTTACTTTGTTCCTCTGTCTGTTCATTCACTCCATAAGTTCTTAGTGAGTGTGTAATATCTGAATAAACACTTGACACTCTTTGGGGTGCAGGGGATTTGGCAAAGATCTTGGTTTTTGGAGCAGGGGCCTAATAGGGAAGTGGCAAATTAATTCCATAAGTATCTGCCTGCTAGTGAATGCTAGGAAGAAATTAAATCAGGGAAAAAAGCTAGAAAGAGGGGGATATGATACTTAGAATGGTTGATCAGAGATGGCGTCTATGAGAAGGTTCCATTAGTATGGAGACACGCATCAAGAGCAGGATGAAACCATGTCAAGAGCACAGACTCTTGAGGAGAAAACAGCCTTGTGAGCACCCTGGGGGGAGGGAGAGCTGTTTGTACACAAGCTTTCAGTCTTCTTACAGCAATGGCCACTGAGAAATTTGGGCAGTGTTGTACCTAAGTTCCTTGTCATCAAATATTTGGCTCATGGAGCGATAGCACAGCGGTAGGGCGTTCGCCTTACAAGCGGCCAACATGGCCGACCCAAGTTCGATTCCTCCGCCCCTCTCGGAGAGCCCGGCAAGCTACCGAGAGTATTCGATATGCCAGACACAGTAACAACAAAGTCTCCAATGGAGACGTTACTGGGCCCGCTCGAGCAAATCGATGATCAACGGGAGGGCCTTTACCTTTTACCTTATTATTTTTCTACACTTAGAGCTGCTGCTGATGATGTTTTAGAAGGTCATTATCAGGAGCATTTTCAAACACAATCACAAAAACAGGAAAATTTGAAAACACGAATTTTTAGGCACAAAGTTGACGCTATTGATGAAATGTCTATTTCGTTAAAAATAAAATGTGAAGGCATTATAAAAATGTTTTCTGCCCAACCCCCCAGTGGGATATAATTTTGGAATTTTAAAGTAGTTAAGTATGCTCTGAAGTTGGTACCTATTGTATAGTTTTACTTTACATTCTGAAGAGCAAATTTTACCTAAATTATTAATAATGAGGAGTTTTTCTCATTACCAGAAAGTGACAGTTTGTTTTGCCCAGGTTGCTTTTTTATTAAAAGAAATTATTTCACTCAGTGTCTTCCAGATACTCTTGAGATATGGTGACAAAGAATATTACAGTAATATGGCATTCTACATGGAATATTTTATGCTAGATATTAAGATAAGCTGAAAATGTTTGAAATTTAAAATAAAAAACAAGAAACCTAAAACCTGCACTATACTTTATAAGCCTACTTTTCAACAATTAAATATTATTTAAAGATTCTTTGCCTTGAGATACTCAGGTCTACACGTTGCACTTACACTGCATAATTTCACTGTTTGAAATCACTGCATCTGAGATGGGCTTTGGACACTTTTTCCTTTGCCTTAAATTTCATGGGCTCACCATAAACATAATGTTTATATAATTTTTATAAAACAACAAACTTACATATCATATATAATTATTTTATATGTAACATTAAGGTAATGCTACAGATGATAATATAAGTACATATACTTATAAGTTGATTATATAAATATAATATGCATGATTTTTTGTAAAAATAGTGTTTATATTATCACAGAAAAGGTGAAATTCTAAAGTCATTAAAGTGTTTTTAACAGAATTTTCTGTAAAAGGCTTTTCGTCAAGTTTTTTTTTTCTGTAAAAATGTTAAAGTTCTAATTCTTTAATGCTTTTCAAAATAGAAATTCAATAGAAAGCTGCAAAATGAAGAGCCAAGATTTCTAAAGAACTTTACGTATTTGAATATACCTGGTCCCTCTCCCCCTACTTCAGTGTCTGAATCTGAGCCCACTTCTTTTCACAGTTTTTCTGTAATATTGTGATAAAAATGCTTTGGGGAATCAAATAAGTACCAACAAGTACCAGTTCAACCCTTGTTGTGAGAGGCATTTTTATTTCATTGTTTCTAAACTGTAGAATTTCTCCTCACTTAGGAAAGCCTCTGCATTTATGAATGAATCAATGCATGTCTAGAAGAAACATCGCTGCGGGAGCATTACAAGCCTCTTGCCCTCAATCTGTGTTGAGAGGCCTCATGAATGCATGGCGATGAGTTTTGGCTCTGGAGACTCCCCTGTCAGCTGGGAATAGCAGGGACATGAGGTTGCACTTACTGATCTCTGTTGCTATCACTGTAATATTGTGCCAGAGCACTGTTTCACGGTCAAGAAGTTTTGATGTGAAAATGGAACCATTTGCAGAATCTATGTTGAATATTCTGTCCATGTCTGTGTGTCGATCAACAGAATACCTGAAAAGGCAGGGGACAGTTTAGAAATGGGTGCTCTGGATTTTCTGTCCTCACATCCTCAAATTATTCCCAGAATATGTGTTTAATGAAATGTTTTTCTTACCTGGTTATGTATATTTGTGTATCTTTAACTTTATGTTAAACAAAACATTCAGAGAAATTTCTTTATTACCACTGTGGTCTTAACGGTAAACCGCCAGGGGCTGGAGAGATGGGCAGTGGGAAGGGCGCTTGCCTTGCATGGGGACAACCTGGGTTCAATCCCTGGCATCCCATACAGTCACCTGAGCACTGCCAGGAGTAATTCCTAAGTGCAGAACCAGGAGTAATCTCTGAGCACTACTGGATGTGCCCCCCGAACAAAACCAAAACAAAATAATAATAAACCCACTAGCCATGCTGAATAGTTTTGAACCTCAACACTAACGTCTGTTTAGTTTATTATGAAGGGCGTTTCTAGGCTACTCCCAGCCCAGTGCTTGGGTGTCACTCCTGGTGATGCTCAGGACACCATGTGGTGCTGGAAATCGAACCTGAATCCCCCACATGCAAAGCATGAGCTCATTCCTGTGAGTCATTTCCCTAGTTCACAAAGGGTTTTTTTTTTCATTTTGCTTTGTTTTTAATGTGCAAGTTGGATCAAATTATTTTAGCAGTTGTTATATTTTAATTCAGAAAATTTAGAACTTTTGCTTGTGTGTCATAAAGGAGTGTTGCAAGCTATTTTTTCTTTAGCTAGTGTTTCTTTCTATATTTTTAGGCCATACTAAGCAATGCTAACTCTTGTCTGTGTGCAAGGGAACATGTGGTACCGAAAATAGAAGGCACATGAAGGCAAATGTCTTAACTCCAGCACTATCTTTCTGGCCCTTGTCACACATTTTCTTTAAAATCAGTGTGTGTGTGTGTGTGTGTGTGTGCGTGTGTTAAATAAACCAAAAGGTGGCTGGTGTGGTTGAGGCAGGAGAAGAAGCTTGGAAACAAGCTTGGGGAGAGATACAGGGATGGGCTAGCCACCGTCAGGATTTAGTCTATGTGCACCATGATTCTTAGTAGGGGAGGATCCCTTTGTAATTCATACTGAACATTGTCACTGGTTGAATGGAAGAGAATGCTTGGATGATCCCAAATTGTTAAAGGAAAATAAAGAATAAGGTTTGAGGACAATCACAACTCTGGGTTTGATATGCTGAGACTCAGTTGCCTAAGGTATTTAGTTTGAAGTTCAAGATAAAGTTCTGGAGGACTAGGTGACCTCTGTTTCCTATTTGACTTCTAGGAGGAGAATGTCCCATAACGGAGAGTCATATACTTAGGGCAGATTCTTTTGAAAATCAATAGAACAGACCCCATAGGGACTAGATGAGACCCAGAACAGAATAGGAACGTGCTAAATATGTAAAATGGAGGGGTGGGAGAATGAAAGAAAAACCAAGAGAACAAGAGGCAGCTTAGAAACCAGAGAAGGGCAATGCCTCACACGCTGGAGTTAGTGACAGAAAATTAGACACTGAGAAATGTTATCTTCTCTTTAAAATTACGACTAGATTTTGGAATAGCTACATCGGGGAAAATGTGCACACTGTCTTGTGAGGTAGCAGTAAGGACAGTGGAGAGAAAACTCAGAAATTTACATATGAAAATCATTAGGAACAAAAAAGAGAAAACTCAGAAATTTACATATGAAGGTCATTAGGAACAACCCCCCCCTTGCCCCATTGTATTGGACTCCCCAATTTTTTTTTTATTATAGTAGGAAGTTTTTAAGATGTCACTTTAGTAGAAATATAATTTAAGTGAATGACCTAACTAGTCATATGCATGTGGAATTCTAATGGCTGCACTAATTAAAAATAAAATAAACCCTGGTTACTAACCTGCTATAAAGCACAATGCCTAAGATCCTATTGCAATTAATTACTGTTTCAAAATATGGCTAGTGAATTATAATAAGCAATGTATTTCATCTTCACAAAATCTATTTTTATCATCTAGTGGGGATCTATGTAAAATGGATACTTCATTATTGTAAGCTATTTAAACTGGACTTTAAAGAGATTTAGTGAAACTCACTATGGATATCAACTTGGGTTATATCAATTTCAATATCATTTTGAATTAGGAGTTTAGTTGCAACATTATGAAATCTAGTATCTTATTATCAAAAGGGTTGAAACAGATTAAACAGCTATTGTTTTTGTTGTTTATGTCAGGAATCCACATATATTAAGAACTTAGCTGCTTTAAGCTTTCTTGAACATTCTTTTTCATTCTTAATTTGTGAATGATAAATGTGTGTAGCTTACAATTTACCAAATCCAAAGCTTAATATTTATAGCCTCCATAATAAATTTACAAATATGAAAAAGTAATATTTTTCCTCATAAAATGTCATATTTATTTATTTATCAATTTACTCCTGGCTCTGAGCTCAGGGACCATTGCCGATGGCAACTGGGTGCTGGCAATTGAGTCCTGGTCAGCAACATGCAAGGCAGATGCCCTATCCACTGCACTATATCTTCAGTCCATGCTTTTGATAGAAAGCAGCTATTTAGAAAATAGCTAGATTGAACACATCTTATTTTTTGAATGGAGATCTTAAGCATTGATTGGAAAACCTAAGATTTCTGCACTATTTAAGAAAGATGCTTACATACAAAGTCTTACTGATTTGTTGTTAGTTAAAAATTTTTTTCAACTTGAGAGTGAGCAAGAGAGGGAAATGGAGAGAGCGACAAAGAGAGTGAAAGTGAGAGCAAGAGCGAGAGAGAGAGAGAGAGAGAGAGAGAGAGGGAGGGAGAGAGAGAGAGAAGAAAAGTGCCTGTTGTAGAGGCAGACTTGGGGTGGGGGGTGGCAGTGGAAGTAGGGAAACTGGGGATATTGGTGACGGGAAATGTACACTGGTGAAGAGACGGGTGTTGGAATATTGTATGACTGAAACCCAATCATGAATAACTTTGTAACTCCTTATCTCATGGTGATTTAATAAAAATATATTTTCAATTTGTAGAAGACTATTTGCCATCCAGACACAATAATTATAATCATAACTGATAAGGAACAAAATAATCAATCCCACTATGATTACAGCAAAGCATTCTACTATGTAGCTCTTTCTTTTTTGCTCCAAAATTTTTATTGTATTCCATGATTCAATAATTTGTCTTCTAATGTATCTTCAAGTCAAGAAGATTTGTTGCTCAGGAAAGAAGTGTGTTTGCAAGTAAATTTTTCACAATATGTACTCAGTGATATTTTACAAGACTGTTAGAAATCAAAAGTCATTTGTGATAAAGTTTTGGAAGGAATTTGTTTTACGTGATAAATGAGATAAAGATTTGTGTCTGCATAATAATAAATCAATGTTTTGTATGCACAGACTTTCTAGTTTTAATTGTGCACTTAGCATGCAATCTAACACCTCACTGGTATTTTTTTCTTTTTATTTATTTATTTAGGTTTTTGTTTTTTTTTCCCCTCACACTTTACTCAAACACTGTGATTTACAAAGTTGTTAATGATGATTAGTTACAAGCACTTAATATTCTAACAGCAATGCCACCACCATTGTTATCATCCCTCTAATGTCATAGTCCCCATTTTTCCAATCACCCCAATAGTAGGCCCCCAATAATTTATTTTAGATTTCTTTTTACCACTAAATGGCTAACAGAATGATCAAAAAGTATTTCCACAAGAGAAAATTTGTGAAAATTGTTGTATCTTACCATAGGGACATTAAGTCCTTGTCGGAGGGTTTCCTAAGCTATTATTTCAAGAAAAGCATTCTGTGTTAATTTTTTTTTAGTCAAGACTGGTTGGCTTCTATGTTACAATCCCATCCAATCTGGTGTGACACCTCATTATTGATATTTATGTCTTGAATAACAAAAAACTACATATGGAAGTATTTTCTTCATGTAAGTTCCATTTTATCATATAAAAGAATTCAGTGAAGGATGAATTCATATAATAATATGAATATATATTATTGTATATGTCTAATTCTCTAACCTATAGCAATTTCTGGAACCTGTACATGCCAAGGGAAAGTTGGCATAATAACATTTCAAAATTAGCTGACAGTAAACCCAATCTGTCAGCTAACGACTTCCTTTAATAAAACATGAAATTGTGCAATGGATAAAACTGATATTTGGTATAAAAAATGTAAAACAGACTTAATAAGGTATTCTAAGTTACCAGCAGATATGATTAGTCTCAGTTGAAAACACGTTGGCCCATCAAAGAGAAAACCGAAGCTATTATCGGTAAACTTTTAGCCTTAACAATTTTATGTATTTATTTGGGGGAGGTTTTGGCCTGCCTAGTTGGTCGTGCCCAGGGGCTACTCCTGGCTCTGTGTGCAGAAGTTGTCCTTGGCAGTACTAGGATGGTAGGGGATCATGTGGTGTTGGGAATCAAACTGAGGCAGGCCATTCACAAGGCAAGTGTCTTAATCCCTATTCTATCTGGCTGGCCCGCATTAACGTTTTTTTAAGTGTTTTATAGGGTTTTTTTTTTTCAGATAGAGCAAAATTTAAAGTGAGACAAGAGTTGTGACAATATTTAAAATTATTTGTGTTGGGCTGGAAAGAGGCTCAGGGGTTAAAGTGTTTGCTTTGCATGTGATGAATCCAAGTTTGATCCACAGCATATATGATCCCCCAAGCATTGTCAGGTTATTCCTGAGCACAGAACTGGGAGTACCCCTTGAGCAATACCAATTGTGGTCCCCAACCCCCGCCTCTCCCAAAATCATTTGTTATATACATGATGATCATAACTAATTTTCCTCATTCTTTTTTCCTAATTAAGAATATGAAACATATATGAAGTGACATATGATCCTTGGAACTCACATGTGGTTACTTTGGGTTGATCACTGTCTAGATTGAGACTGATAACACAACAGAGTCTCTAATCCTAGTGATTTAAAATTACTTCCCCAAAATAAGCCAGATAGTTTTGTGTTTTAGATGCGGGACTTGCTGGTTTCATATTAACAAAGGGTTTGATAACTTAAAAAGAAAATGACTACTTTGAATCCTCAAACTATTATAGTTTTTATTAAGGAGCCATGATATATGATATATGAAGTTATTCATAGCTGAGTCTCAGGCATATAATATTCTAATAAAATTCCACCAGCCATGTCAACTTCCCTCTGCCAGTGTCCCTGGGTTCTCCTATCCCCCAGCCTGCCTCCTTGACAGACACATTTTTAAATTTGGTTGTTGTAGTTTGGATATCCTACTTTCAAGTGTTGCTAGTTCTGTGGTTTAGACTATATACATATACTGTGTCTTTACCCCACCTATGTACCCAACGCCTCTGTCCTTGTCTCTTCTTACTTCCCCCCTTGATTCTTTTCCTTTCCTGTCCTTCTCTTCCTTGTATTATAAAGTTTCAAACTCTTTTAAAAAATTCCATTTAATTCTATTTAATTGACATATTAAAAATATATTTCTGGCAGAATATATATTTATAAAAATATATTCTGGTGGAATTTTATTAGAATATTGTATGCCTGAGACTCATCTATGAATAACTTCATATATCATATTATCATGGCTCCTTAATAAAAACTTTAATAGTCTGAGGATTCAAAGTAGCCATGTTTTTCATAATAGAGTGTCACCTAGACAATGTTCCAACACACACCTTCCATCAGAGTGTGCACCTCCCTCTGGGCATTTGCTTCAGAATTTCCTTCCATCCACATCCTTCCTGCTCCATCCCCCATCTTTAAACTCTTTTATCTGCTGTAGAAGTGTTTGTACTGCAAACTATTTGATTGGTTCTTGTCTACACTCTTATTACTACTCCCCCTCTTTTTTTTCCTTTTTGGGCTATACCAGGCAGTGCTCAGTGGTTACTCCTGGCTCTGCACTCAGGAATTACTCCTGGAAGTACACAAAGGACCCTAAGGGATGCTGGGATAGAACCTGGGTTGACTGCAAGCAAGGCAAGCACCTTACCCTGGTTATAGTTATAGTTTTTATAACTATTACTCTGGCCCCATTACTCCCACTCTTACTCTCCAAGCTTCCTTGCTCTGACTGCTTCCACATGGTAAGGAAGCTCGGCGATCAGATCTTACCTTTCTTTCCCTCTCTTCTTAGGACATTTTCCCCTCCTGGACATCTGCATGCTTCATCCCTCCATGTCCTTAAAATCCTTCCTACCAACAAAACCAAGTCTGACTACAAACAATTGCACAATGAATGCTCTGCTTCTACACTCTTACTGCTTACGGTTTATTTTCAGCTGACACCTTCAAAAGTGTTTGCTGGTTTCTGTGTGCCCCAATTAGAATGTAAGTGCCATGAGATCAGGACTTCTGCTGTAGCCCTGAAAGCCTTGGGCATGCTTCCACATGGTAAGTGTCCCCATGAGACGCTCCATGAATTTACATTTGTGGAACTATGTTTGGATTTATTTTGAATTTAAATATGAATTATATTTACATTTCAATGTGAATTTAAATGGGTAGATCGACTGGCAAGAATCCTGCCAGCTACTCAATTCGCCTACTTTAGACACGGAGAAGTCACATGATGCTGTTCTAGTTTGGCGTTTGGCTCATCTAGTCAATGAAACTGTGGGCTAAAAGCTGGAAACAGAGTCTAGAACAGGGAATCATTCTTGAGCTCAAAGAGTAATGAGGCTTTCTTGTGATATGATTTACCTCTGAAGAGTAAGGAGAGTCCCAGGGAAATAGAGCTTGCTTACACAGTATAAATTAAGGTTCAGCTTTATTAATTTCCCAGTACTATACAGGCATAGACCATAAAATAGTTCTTGTTTCTATCCTCATCTGCAAAAGAAAAAAATTTACTTATCCCAATAGAGCATAATTCTGCCTCTCACTGTTCTTGAAAAGTTCGTCTACACTTGAGAAACAGCCTCTCAAGCCCTGTGCCTTATTTGTTAAAAACCACAGTGCTTCCTCTGATAAATCTGAGTGTAAAACACTCATGGCCATTTGGTCTCAGAACATCCTATGCGAGTAGTAAACGCTCCAGCTTTTCCCACCGTGTTCCCTGTCTCCCCTCAACAGCAATTTGTGGTTTTTAGGTTTATGCTGCTGCTAAGCTAATGTTTATGCTGAGCAAGGAGAATAAAGGTGTTATATAGAGTAGCTTTTCAGGAAAACATAACTGTGTAATTGGAACAAAAGGACTCATTTTTTTTCTTTCCATTTTTGAGAGGTGTAGGGGCAGTTTGGGCCACACCCAGAGGTGTTTATGAGCTAGTCCTGGCTCTGTGCTCATGTGTGACCCCTGTCAGTACTGTGGGACCATACGTGGCCCCAGAAAATCAAACCAGGATTGCCTACATTGCTACAGCCTTAGCTCCTGTACTATCTCTCAGGACCCAAAGTATTCATTTTCTAATGTGCAGACAAAAATTTAAATGTCAAACTTCTGAAGTTTAACATGTCACTGAATTCCACTTACTTGACAGGGTTCCGGGCAGCATCTGGGTCTTGGGCGGCGACGGAGCCAACGGTTGTGTTGATCTGAGCATCTTCTCTTATCTGCAGGACGTAGACCAGTTTGCTGAAGATGGGCGGCTCATCCACATCCTCCACATTGATTCGAACAGTGGCGGAATCTTTGAATGGACCCAGGTAGAGGAAGCGGGGTTCCACGTGAGGGTTGGTGGCCTCCACTTTGAGGTTGTACACTTTCTTCTTTTCAAAGTCCAGGAGCTTGAAGGAGGGAGAAGAAATGGATGTATTTAAGGCAGTTGAGTTAGAAAAAACCAGAGATGAACTGTCTCTTGTGCAAATCACTGTGTGAGAAAGCTCTGCACAGCTTTGAGAACTCGCTGCACAGAAGCATGGTGTGGAAAGGCACGTTCAGATGCACATTCAGATCCAAGTTCAGATGCAACACAGTCCCGATGAAAATGTGGTTGAAATAAGCCCTTTGCTGCCTTGAAAGGGACAGAGGTGTCAGGTCTAAAAGACAGGACAGGGAACTGGGAATGCCTTCTGTTACAGACTCCTTCGTTAAAGAATCCTTTGAACTGATCACAGGGGACTGTGCAAATAGCTGAATATTTTCAGTGCTCCCCAAAGTGGGTGATACTGCCCCAAATTGGGGTAATAGAAGGGCCCAGAATGGCTGTTATTAACCTTGGGGTGCAACTGTGGAGAGCAGGGGGTGCTATCTGTATGTTAAGGCACTGTCCTCTCATTGTCCATCTATTTGCTTGAGCAGGCCCAGTAATGTCTCCATTTTGAGACTGGTTACTGTGTTTGGCATATTGAATACGTCACGGGTAGCTTGCCAGGCGTTGCTGTGTGAGTGAGATACTCTCAGTAGCTTGCCGGGCTCTCCAAGAGGGGCGGAGGAATCGAACCTAACTCAGCCAGGCCGGCCATGTGCAAGGCAAACGCCCTACCGCAGTGCTATCACTCCAGCCCTGTTTGTTAAAAGTGGTAGATGTTTCAGGGGGCACTATTTACTAATTTTTTTCTAAAACGAGTGGCTGACCAAATTTATTCTGAAACCTCTAACATAGATTACTCTGTCAGTTGTGGTTACCTTTTAACTGATCACTTCCAGGTGGGAAGAGCTAGAGGAATGAGCTCAAAGAACTGAAGCATCTCCCTGGCATGCCCAAGGCCCCAAGTTTGACCCCTGGTACTTCATATTCCTCTGAATTTTGCCATGTGTGGCCTTGGTGACCTCTCAGAACCACTGGTCCTGTGTAGCATCTCACTGCCAAGTCTGGCTTGGGTTGGGAAGCATTGTCAGGAGTAGTGCCTGGAACCCCTGCACAGGAGGAACTCACAAAAAATATGAGCACTTGGGTCATTCAAATTCATCAGTATCTGGACCCCAGTTGTATTATTAAGCCAGAATATCCAGGAATGGGGATAAGAAGCTCTATATCAACCACTGTCCCTGCACCAGCGATCCATGGTACAGCTGGAATCAAGAACCACAGAATTGCTTGGGGATATCCATTTCCTCATTCAGATAAAAATCAATGAAGACATTGTTTTTCTCTTTTGGACCTGGTGTGATAAAATATTCCAAATTAATATCTTGATGAAGGCACTGAGCTAATTAATTGCCAAAGAAAGTAGGAATGATCATTATTGTCAGAGGTCTTTAGGAAAAGGATCTCTATTTGTGACACACAGAGAACCCAAATGCTTCTTGCTGACTTGGAGTTTTAGATGATAATATGACAAGACTCACTAGAAACACAATTAATCAAGATGATAGTGAATGCGATTTTGTCGGTGAGGCAAAATTTCAGCTCGAATCTGATAAGGCACCAAGAAAATTAAAAAGGTTAATGCACTCTAATGGGCACCTTAATGATATTAGAGTATAAAGCATCAGTCTCAGTGTCACTCAGACAAGTTTTATGGTGATTCTAGATATTAAGACACGGAACCCAACACTGAAGAAAAATTTCTTGTCGTTTCTATCCACCTGTACTCATATTTACTGGCAAACCGCAGCATTCTGAGAGAGGAAATATTACACTGTACACGGGGAAAAGAAAATCATTTAAAACTCTAGCCAGAATGAATATATTGTTAGCTTTGATGCATGGAGATTATTGATTTTTATTGGCTTAGTGCTTTTCACACATTTGCATACTGATCTGTGGTATTTTATTTGAGGAGAATACAGAGTTAGTTAGCAATTAGGGGAAAATAGGAATTTAGAACATAAAAACTTTTTTATTACTATGTTCCAGTAACTAGTGAAGGAACTCATAACTCCTGAGTTTATTTTTTGTGTTGCCTCCCTAATTCAGGTCTTTTGTTTTTATTTTTGGGCCACACCTGGAAATACTCAGGGATTATTCCTGGCTTTGCGCTCTGGGCATTACTCAGGGGACCATATGGACTGCGGGTCAGCCAGGTGAAAGGAAAGCATGTTACCTGCTGTACTGTCTCTCTGATCCCTCTTATTCAGGTCTTTTAAACCACTGTTTGTATTATACTTTTCCTTCAAAGCTTTTATTTTTAAAATTTGTTGTCAGATTATACTGGTTTATTTGCTTCCTTGTCCCACTGTCTCTCCACTTTCCCAGAGTGGAAAACTTTTTTTATTTTTTGCTTTGGGTCACATCTAGTGGTGCTCAGGGCTTACTCCTGCTTAAGGGTTATTCTTGGCTGTGCTTGGGGGACCGTTTGTGGTACCTGACAGCAAATCAAGGTCCTCAGCATAAAAGGCGAGTGCCCTAACCCTACTATTATCTCTCTGGCCTCAAGATGAAAGTTTTATGAAAGCACAGAAATTCTGCTGAAGGTACCATTCTATCTCCAGAATAGAGTCAGATGTTATTTATTTTAAAATTTATATTATTTACTTTATGTGCTTCTTAAAGGTAAGGTAAAGGCCCTCCCGTTGATCGTCGATTTGCTCGAGCGGGCCCAGTAACGTCTCCATTGGAGACTTTGTTGTTACTGTGTCTGGCATATCGAATACTCTCGGTAGCTTGCCGGGCTCTCCGAGAGGGGCGGAGGAATCGAACTCGGGTCGGCCATGTTGGCCGCTTGTAAGGCGAACGCCCTACCTTACCCTACCGGAGTATTCATATAGGAGGCTCTTAATAAATTTTTTTGGAGGATTTCACATTATGTGGTGCTTGGGGCTTATCTTGGCTCTGTGGTCAGGGATGACTACTCTCAGTTGTTAGAAGGACCATATGCAGTGCCAGGAACTGAACAGGGGTCAGCCGCGTTTAAGGCAAGCTCCCCACGGCTGTACTATCTCTTTGCCTACTCCACCTCCCGACCGTAATAAATCTTTGTGGCAAGTAGCCCACGGATGAATGCATAAGAATATATAGCGTTACTAAAAGATAAAGGAGACCACACTGTAACGAGGGGATCTAAGAATAAGTGAGGACAAGAATCTAAAGCACCTATGAGGGCTCCAGGTTACTTGGGAAGCAGAGAAAAGTTCCCATGTTGGGGATGGGGCCTGGTACAGCAGGTAGGCTGGCAGCTGACCCCTGTGCAATCCTTGCAGATGGTCCCTCTGAGCACCACCAGAAGTGATCCCTAAGCACAGATCCAGGAGTAAGCCCAGAAACCATCCATCCAACCAACCAACCTATCAAAAAAAGAAAGTACACATGTTCATTCATTTGGCTTTAACAAGAGCTGTTACCTTTTTGACCCTTATGATGCCTTCCTGGGTATCCTGGTCAGTGACCACGTCGAACATGTCAAGCCCCTCGCCCTCAGTGATGCTGTACTCAATCTCAGCGTTCTCCCCGACGTCAGCATCGCTGGCTTTGATCCTGCCGATGGGCGTACCGGGTGCAGAGGATTCCGGGGTTTTAAACTGGTATGTGCCTAGGAATCAGCAGACAGAGGGGAGTCGCGCACAGACTCCAGTGCCCTCTATCACGATCAGAACAAAATGCATTTCCTAATGGATCCGGCAGACACTGACGCAAGCCCAGGCAGATTGATGGTTTCCTTCTTGTCACGCCCTGTGCGCCGGCCGCTAGTTGGCCGCTAGGCGCGTGATGGGTAAGAATATTTCTTTGTGACCTGTCCCTTTGCAAAACGAAAACACTTTTCTTGTCTTGTAAATAGGCTTTAAAGTTTATAGCGTGGTTGGGAGGAAGGCAGCCATAGAGGAGGGCACATGAGGTCTCAAAGCCCCTTGTTAACATAGTCTACCCGACAGACTAGGAAAGAATCTAATGTGAACTGTGACCTGCAGCCAATTACCAGGTATCTTTCAAAGAGTTCTTCCTGACATTGCTAGTTACAATGTCAGGAAGGGAAAATAAATTAGTGCAATTTGGAGAATGTATCCAAATAGACGTTCTGTCACTCACACTGAGTTCGCAGATCTACTAGTTTGGGAGGAACTAAGAAAACACATTGAAAGAGAGAAATCTCTTATTTCCCCCCCCCCCCTTTTGATAATTCTTCCTTTCAGATTTCATTACAGTATTTTTTTTTCTAAGCAGAGGTTTCTCCCACTCTTGTATTTATACTAGTAATTCAAACCTGTATTTCAGTAGATGAGAAACCATTATTAACATTTTTAGTGTAAGCCACGGAATCTCATTAATTTTTTTAATTTAAAAGAATCTATCTGTATTTCATAAATATACATTTTTAAGAAAAGTGTCTTCATGTTGCAAAACCGGTTGAAGGCAACTCCATGAGAGTTTCTATATAGATCTGCCAGATCAGCATGTCCTCAGCATAAAAAATAAAAGAGAGAGAGAGAGAGAGAGAGAGAGAGAGAGACAGAGACAGAGAGAGAGACAGAGAGTAGTGAAAGTAGCAAATAAGGCTGGTATGTGACTGACCCAAGTTTGATCCCTGGCACTGCATATGATCCCCCAGACCAAAGCAGGGAGATGATTTTTTTTTTAAAGAAATGAAAGAAAGGAAAAAAATGTGAAAAGGAAAACAAACTTATTGGTTTGGAAAAACAGTATGACACAGCTAAAGTCAAGTTCATTTAATAATATGAAGAAACCTCAGTTTTGGCTGCACACTTGATAAAATGATAAAACAGATCAAGTTTTTCGCTAGAGGTGCTCTTCCCCTCCTTTGCTTTTTCTACATAATTCAGTGAGAGTCACAGGCTACCCAAGGAGAGAGGAGAATAAGGAAGGTCCCAGAGGCACAGGAGTGATGAATCCTTTTCCTACCCTTCCCCAGCGCATCTGCAGACAGAAAAGGAGGTTCTGGGGTAAAGTGTTGGTGAGCTGATATTTTCATCTCAGGCCTCTGTGAGGGGAATTCTTGGGGGTCAGGAAACCTTCCTTTGATTCATTAAATCAGACCTCATTAGCTATTCTGTTTTGCATTTAGCTAACTGTGATTAAGTACTTGAAAAAATAAGGAAAATTGAATTATTTCCTGTAGCTTCATGTGTATCTCCATTATTAATTAAAGCACTCTATTAGCTGACTGCTTAAAAAAATAAAAAAAAAACCAACAATGCCATGATTGGTGTGTTTCCTGTTTACTGATGGACAGAAAGGATTGGGGGAATTTTATTTGAAGACCACGGCCAGAAAGGAATTCTGTTTCTGGAACTAAAATCACATCAAAACCAGTAATGCTATTGCAAGGGGCCAGCGCACTGCGTGATGCAAATGGGCATTTGAAAATGTTTTCCTTCTTTTTCCCTCCTATCTTATCATGAGAGTTAATTACTTTGGAGATGACTTTCGGTATCTCAATTAACCATAATGTATAAAACCATTTATACTACCAAATGGATTAAATACATAGTTATTTCCACAGTTGTATTTTTAGAAACAATAAAATGATAAATCCTCCCCTTACAAAGCTTTGTGAGGATTTAAAAGAGATTACATGCCTGATTAAATTCACAAAATATAAAGTTAAATTCTTCCTAACAAATAGCAGCAGACTTGTATACATATGTTCTGCACAAGCAAATTTATGCCTGTAGTAGTCATTTTAATAAAGGGAAATTAAACAAAGCTATTGCATTTATGGCAGTAACATTAGAATCGCTCAGCTAATTACCAGTATAGAAGCACAATATTCACATTTGTTGAATATAAATGTTAACATTATAATTATTATTATTATTATTTTGATGGAGCTAGGGGTGGAACTCAGGATGTACTCATGTAAGGCACGTGCTTTGCTGTTAAACCACATCTTCAGCCACAGTCCACTAATTTTTTTCAATGGGGAGGCCCATTTAGTAGTGCTTAAGGCTTACTCCTGGCTCTGTGCTCAAGGATCACTCCTGGAGGGGCACTGGGGACCTTAGGGGATTGAAGATGGAACCCTGGTTGGGCCATGTGCAAGGAAAACGCCCTCCCCACTGTACTATTGTGCTGATTCTATCCCACTCATTTTTAATAAAAGTGCTTATTTTTTTCCCTACGTTCATTGATTTTGACAATAAAGGAGGATATCATCATTCTTAATGTGCCAATTAGAGCCCAGAGAAAAGCCATTCAATTAGCTGTTCTTACTCTGGGGAAACCGAGGGGGGTTGTCATTGACATCTGTCAGCGTGATGTTCACGGTGGTGGTTCCGGATAAGCCTCCCATCTGGCCGCCCATGTCCTTGGCCTGGATCACCACTTGGTATTGCTCCCTGTTTTCTCGATCCATGCTGAGCAATGCTGTCTTGATGATACCTATGGATAACAAAATTCAGAAGTGGAAAGTGAGGACTTAAAAAGGTTTATGGTGTCATTTGTTTATGCAAACAGGTTATCACCCACAATAGGTGGGACATGAGGTTGATGTCATAAAGAACCTTTGTACTAGAAAAACTTTCAACCCTACTCGGGATAGAGAGAGTTAAACAACGCACCTATATTATCAGTCTTAATAAGTCCACATAAAAATCTGCTAGGGTATTGGGAATACCAAGTGTAGGAGATGACACAGCAGAATAGAATTTGGCATGTGGTACAGTGGATTGCTACTGTAACTGCTTAATAAAAGACATTGAGGCATACTATGGGGGAAATTGTTAGCTTGAATTGGCTCTTAAGCTTTACTTTACTGAAGTGACTAATTGCTCAGCAAATATACCCTTCATTATGAATGTTCTGAGAGTTTTCTTAACCATAAAATGATATGGTCTTAAGAAAACATGGGATCAGTTCCCTCATAATTAGCGCTTTTTATATCATTCTAGAGAAGTCTTTTTCCTCCAGTTGATGTGAATGTTAGTTCAATTGGCCTCATCAGTGACCAACATTTTTTAAATTAGGTTAACTTCTTTATTTAGCAAGTTATAAATAATGAGTTAAAGGAAGTATTAAAAGTTTGCCTAATCTCTATGTCAGATTTATGCTTAAAGTTCTTTTATACTTAACATTCTTTCAAAAATCACTGAGAAGTATTTCTAACTTTATCTGGTAGCACATTCCAGTGCTTAATAATAATGAAGCTGAAAATATCTTTTGATTTTTAACAAGAATACCTGAAACAACAGGTCATTTTTATTCTCATAGTTCTGACTTCAGTGCAAGAACTGCTGCTTTCTGTTCTTCAAATAACAGTATTTTTCTATTCCAACACAGGAAATCACCTTAACCTTTTGTCTTTTAAGCTGAATAATTCTAATTTTTCAATCTCATTGTGTTTTCAACTTAACATTTTCATTCTCCTTGGGATCTTTTCCAAGTTCATTGGCTTCAACATACCAATTTTCAACTGAAGATAGTGACTTAGAAGGGTTTCTGTTTCTACTAGCAGTAATGGGATATTAAAAAAATGTATTGAAGAAACTTACTCCGATATGATTGCTACAATATGTATAGAATTTACTATACAGTGTAAACAATACCTACTAAAAATTCATCATTAGATACTCTATAACTTTTTGGAGAGAGTATAAAAATGAGATATTGAAAAAGACAATTAAGACAATTAATTTTAAGGTTGTATCAGTTAGGAGGGATTTCACAATGAAGTGATAATAAACACTATACATCTCTGACTTATTATAGCCATCTACTGGAAACTCATATCAACTTTTGTTTTCATTCATGATCATTTTGGCAAAAGGATGGGAACATGACAGATTATGGACCAGGCCTGAAGGTTCTGCTTGGAAGTGAGCCATATCAATATTACATTGACCAATACAAGTCCCACTGCCACCACCTTGTTTCAGAACAGAGTAGAGAGCTGCAATCTTGTTAATTATACTAAAAAATAATAAAAATATTCATAAACAATACTGCTGGTTTCAGAAGGGCTTGGTCTTTTAAATTTAGCTCAAACTAAAAGAAAAAATAAAGTTCATGCATAATCTTTCTGAGTGTAAAGGTAAAGGTAAAGGCCCTCCCGTTGATCGTCGATTTGCTCGAGCGGGCCCAGTAACGTCTCCATTGGAGACTTTGTTGTTACTGTGTCTGGCATATCGAGTACTCTCGGTAGCTTGCCAGGCTCTCCGATTCTGAGTGTACCCTTCATAAACATGGTGGATGAAAGAACCACAGTCTGATTTCTTGATTAAAATGATCTGGATGTCATGTTTACAAATATATCATAGTGTTTGGCAGACAACTCTGAAAAATTTCAATCACACTAATTGTTTTTCCTTAGAAAATATGCTAGCTCAGTTGAGCATGTCTATTAAAATTACAAATTGAAAAAAGATTAAAAAGGAATTCTAACCAGTTTCTGATTCAACTGAAAAATAGGGTTGCCCCTGTAGGATGCTATAGACAACTTTAGCACTGTTTCCGTAGGTTGGATCATCAGCATCAGTTGCAGTGACTTGGACCACAAAGGTGCCTGTAATGACAGAAACATGAAAACAAATTAAGGGTCTACCGTGGATCTTTGCTATCATATTTAAAGAAAAAGCATGATGTTACTTGTATACAATTTTATCAAGGTAAGGGAAGAAGAACTTGAGTAAGATACCAGGTTACTTTGGGTTCCTCACTCTGAAAGAAAAAATATGATCAATACTGGTAAATTATAGAAAAGATAAAGGAGGAACAAGGGTACGGGCATGGTTCTGTAATCTCCAAGAGAGATTTGACTAAACTCTTCCTAATACGATTCTTTCAAGTGATATGGTCTCAATCGGTTGGATCGATTTGGGGGAGGTTGTCAAATTAGCATTTTGCTGGAAATTATAGATTATAGATTTTCTTTCTCCGGACCTATAATGTGCTGATGTGTAAACTGTGGAAGCAGCAGTAACACTATCACCTCAGTTATGCCAACTTGAGAACAAAGAGAAATAGGAAATAAAGCTAGGGAGAACTAGTTTCTGTAGACTTTTCCATAGACTTTTTGATTAATGTGGCCAATAAGTACGTAGATTTTTTTAAACTAATTTGAGCTGGGTTTTTGTTGCTTAAAAAAAAAAGCATTAGCAATAGAAACATTTATATGATAATTAGAAGAGGTTGAAAGATCTTTAAAAAGGCAATTTTGAATTAAATAATCATTTGGAAGAGGAGAACATATATATCTGGAATCTATAATTCCAAAGATTATTAAAATTATGTATAATAAAGGTTATGATGGTCTGGGTCAGCTTTTTTTGGTTTGGGTTTGGTTTGGGGGCTCTACCTGGCTGTGCTCAGGGATTACATCTGGCTCTGTGCCCAGAGATCTCTCCTAGAGGTGCCTGGGAGACCATATCCTGTACAGGGATCAAACTGGGGTTTGTCTCATGCAAGACATGGACTTATCCTCTGTACTATCTCTCTGGACCCTACATCAGCATTCCTAGCTTAAGGACCATAGTCATGAAGTGAACTTCAAAGTATTTTTAACTTCATTAATTCTATAGAAATCTTATGCCTGTGTTATCATGTATATCTCATAGATGTGTCATAAATTTTATCTGATTCCCAAAGGATTCAGACCCTAACATTAAGATCATTTTGGGGGCTGACTTATGATATTCAGATCAGGTCAACACTAAGAATACTGCCAGAGTTTTCTCTCTATGAAAACAGTAGGGAAATTATATTTAGCAAACATTAAGAATTTTTAAATTGCTTTTGAATTGCTAATCTCTTCCATTTTATTTAAAAAATACTTTGTGGGGCTTGGATGCTTTCATTGTACCATTTTAATATATAAGATTGAACATCTTATAATTTGACAAAGAAGTGGGAGAATGAAATTATCATATTATAGAAAAGCGATTGCTAACAGTAGACGTCTCATTTGACACCTGTACAAAATTGGAATGTTTTTTAGAGTATGATGACCTAAAGGTTTTGAGCACTTCTTTGTTACCCAATAGTATACACTGGGAGTCTGTTTCTGGTTTCTCACCTCAACTCTGTGTTCACTCTTGGATATGGACATCTATTTATTTATTTATTTATTTATAGATATGGAACTAGAGGAGCAGAGATATGAAGTCATTTACCAAGGGCAATCTTGCTCCATATTAATTGAGCTAATTACAAATTCAGGTCAGTGTGACACTAAAGTCCATTTATATCACACTGTTATTGTCCTACTCCCTTTAATTTGTTTAAGATATCTTTGTGTACCATTATAATGCTATGTTAATAAAAAAAATAATGATTAATAGGAACATAATTGTGCCTGTGTTCCTCTCTTCAAGACTTGTCAGTTAGCAATTCCTCGACACTGACATTTAGATTTTAATTCTATAATGGCTTCAAAAGTGTACGGCCCCATTCATTGAGGGTACAGTGACAATTTTCACATGTAGTTAGTTCTGGTAATACCTTCCTTCCTTCATTCTTTTCCCTTTAAACACCTACTGGAAAAAATCCTAATACATTTTTACCTTAAGAGAATTCTAATCTGGGGGGCTGAAAGGACAGCACAGAGGTTGTCTTACATGCAACAGGGATCCCAGTTTGATCCCTGGCATCATGTGTTTCAATTCCCTGATGCCCTCACCTTTGCACTCCCCCCAACCCTGCCCACCACACACACACACACACACACACACACACACACACACAATTCAGTCAGAGACTGGAGAGCTCAAACTCAGTGGACTGGAGTACATGCTGTGCATGCAGGAGACCAGGGTTCAATTTCCATACCTCACGGTTACCAAGCACAGAACAGGGGTAGCTCTTGAGCACCACCAGGTATGATCCCCAAATTGAAATTGAAAACAAAGAAGGACCTTTTCTTTGGTGATGGTTTATGATTTTTCAAATATAACTTGAAAAGCCTAAATTAAAAAGTGACCTCAAGTAATAAAGTGAGCAACTTCAAGGGAGAAGTTCCAATGTTTGACAATCATTGCTTTCATTATTTTCTAAGTCTTGGAAGTGTGCACTGAAATGTCTCTAATTCACAGGAGATTTTTTTTTATTATGCCATTTAACTTTTAAATTTGATATAGGTAAAAATAAAAATAAACCCTTAAATAGTGGTTTTAAACTTGTCATGAAAGCCTTTAAATGTGTCTAAGAGTGATGCCAGTGGAAGTTTTTTTTCTTAATTTAAATTCTTCTTACCTTCTCCCAATCTAAACAAATTAAATGCACATATATTACTTTTAAAATTGGAAGAAAATTATGCACAGAACACCATATTAATGTCATGAAAGCCTCTTAATTCCTGCCAATTAGTAAAAGATATATCCCCTAGGCCAGTGGGTTTCAACCTTTGCACACCTGCGGCTTCAATCCAAGGACAAACTGTTGAAAACCACTTCCCTAGATGTCATTTGCATATTATTTATGGATTTTGGAAAAAAACTTTTCTCTGACTCTTTCCCCCTAAATTAAACAAATAATTAAAGCAAGTGTTAACTGTTATTACTTATAGTCTGGACCATAAATTCAGACTTATCTTCTACTGGGAAGCGCCTGATCATGACTCAATAAGAATATGGCGGAGAGAAGCACAAAAGACTTTTAACCCAAGCATCATGGGCAGTCAGATCAGGAACAGACATAGATGGCCTTCTTCTCACTCTCACTGACTAATCATTATTCGAGAAAATACTGCTTTAGTTTTCTATTGCAGGCTGGGTACTGAGTGTGAATCTAGAGACTCTCACATGTGTGGTTGTGCTCTATGATTGGGCCACATCCCCGGTCTGGATGGTGTCTTCTTAAAAATTGTAAGAATGGATAACATTGGGAGATATGCATGCATTCCCCCCAAAAGGTGCCCATGTGCAGTTCAAAATATGATTCAGCAATTTGCATCTAAATTCATTAAGTTCGGTACGTTTCATTTATAGAACATTTAAAAAAATTATTCATTTTCAGTATTAGAGAAGAAACCCAAGTGGCTGAAACCCTCGGTCACTCACCCACATCAGACATCTCGGGGACCGTGGCTGTGTAAACCTCCTTGGTGAATATAGGCTCATTGTCATTGATGTCATGGATCTTGATGATGAATTCAGATTCAGGCTCCACGGGTTTTCCTGTTCGTCTGTTTATAGCTTGAGCTCGAAGGATATAAACAGGTTTTTCTTCCCTGTCCAGTCTCTTAGTGGCCTGTATGTCCCCTGTGTTTTCATTGATAATGAAGAGATCTCCTGCTCCATCTCCTGAAAGGATATATTTAAGTGATCCATCTCCTCTATCTTGGTCTGAATGTAACTAGTGTAGAAAAAAAAATTAAAAAGGTAAAAGTCAAGCATGTGATCCTAAACTGCTTTTGTCTTTATGATGCACGGTACTTTAACTTTCATTCAATCTTTTCTAAGGAGTACAAGTACTTGTTTGTTTCACTACTTGCTTAAATCCTCAACAGAAAACGCCGTTCATTAATAAATGTTTCTTATGATTAGAGAGCATTTCAAAACCAAAACGGAGTTTGGAGAAAATGCAGTATTCCCTATTTTGAAAAAGGGAAGAATGGAAAACCAGACTAGAGCAATAGGAAGCTGCACAAAGATTTTTTTTGGGGGGAGGGTTCTTTTTTGGCCCACACTCAGAAGTTGCTTATGGTTTATTTCAGGCTCTGTGCTCAGGAGTGAGCCCTGACCCTACTTTGTGGAGCACATATAGTGTTAGGGATTCAAGCACAGGTTGGTTGCAATGGAAACCAAGTGCTTTATCTCCTGTGCCATCCTTCTGACCCAGCCGGTGGATATTTTCACTTGACTGGAATGAAACTATTTTCCCCTACTGATAAATCCTTGTCATCACTTTTGTATACACAGACATTGTAGAGAGTTTATGTTACTGAGATGCAGATTTTGGTGTTTGAGTCAGACTTAAATCCAGTCTGCTATTAAACTTCAGAGTCTTGATAAAGATTCTTAGGAAAGCTAGTCCTTGAGTCCAATATAAAGGAGCTCATACTTTTTTGAGGGAAAAGGGTAAATCTGATATTTTTAATTTATTTATGAAAATCAATGAGGAGCATTTGCAAAACAGCTTATGTATTGTTATGGAAAATGCCTTGAAACTCTCCCCAACCCCCATTCCCACCCCAAACACACACACACACACACACACACACACACACACACACACACACACACTCACACACTCCTTGGGATTAGATAATTTATAAAGTGACTTGGAATAAGAACATTCGACTTGCTTTCGCCTCAGCTGCTTGGAGCTCCTTCCCTAAAAACTATAAGCAGTGTCTCTGTTGGTCTTGAGCCACCAAACTATGGAACTACTGGGAAAGACTGGCCTTGGAATTTCACACATCACTAGCAAGCTGTATGCTTGGGTATCAGGTATCAAACCTATTGGAGTGGATCAGCGTACTATACTTTCTATAAAGTTTGGACAGAATAGAAAGCAGTGAAGGGCTGGGCCAAGATCAGGTGTGTGAGATTTTTGCCCTGATTGACTGATTGCAGCCAAGTGTGACTTTCATTTTGAAAGGGAATGTAGGTTTAGGTGGACAGGATGTTTGCAAGCTCATTACAATTTATATGAGAGAAATGTAGGAGGCTAAGCAGAAGAAAGAGTGACCAGCCTGGTTGATGGAGGCAAACAAAGAGGAGACATTAAGGGGCCATCTATTTCTCTCTCCATCACTCTAGTCTCCTGTCAGCCAGGGAGGACTCAGTTACCACACTCTTCTCACCACCTGCGGGCCTCCAGGAACACTACTGGCTGCTTCCCTGTTCTGGTAAGAAGGGACAGTTATAGACATCGCTGCTACTTTGTACAGGCGGAATTTATCACAATATGTTTGCATCTGCTGTATGTTTGTATAGTTTCAGGTTTTATATGTTATTGATTACAATTTGGTAGATTATCTTGGGGGTGGGCTGGAGCAATAGCACAGCGGGTAGGGCGTTTGCCTTGCACGCAGCCAACATGACCGACCCGAGTTTGATTCCTCCGCCCCTCTCGGAGAGCCCGGCAAGCTACCGAGAGTATCTCACCCGCACGGCAGAGCCTGGCAAGCTCCCCGTGACGTATTCAATATGCCAAACACAGTAACAACAAGTCTCATGATGGAGACATTACTGGGCCCGCTCAAGCAAGTCAAAGAACAATGGGAGGACTGTAATTTTGGGGGTCTGGGAATGCTACAAAATTTACATATATATTAATGGTACTATCTTCTTTGATTTACCCCATTTCAGTTTCTGAAAAGGTTTCATAAGGATGCTGTACATTCAGAGAGCCGGGAAACCTGTAGTGGGATCCCCACTCTTGACATTCGTTAGCAGAAGCCCTGATGAATGAAATTAACCGTCAGACACCAGGTCAAGGATTGAATTCAGTGAAGACAACATTGAAACAGGTGAGCCTAATGGGAAAACTTGACCACGTTTTATTACTTGGAAAATCTAAAGATGACTTTCATGGACTCCTGCTGTTTCTTTGTTCTATTTCCCCCACTGCAGTCACGTTTTTGAAGGCATCACATAGGTCTTTGGATAAGCTATTAAACCACCTTCTTAAGGCATGTTTTTAATTGAGGAGACTTCCTTACGCCTATTGTATCAGCCACATAGTTTTAGAAAGGAGACTGTTAATCTTTTCCTTATCAAAACTCGATCTAAACAGAGTATGGGCTTTGTTAGGAGGACTGCCACATAGCAAACAAAAACAACTGAGGTCAGTAAGTCAACTTTGGTGTCCTCTTGATTGATACTGTGTGGAATGCTCACTGTCTATAAACTCTTTTGATAATAGAATTTGGGCAAAGGGTAACTTCAAAAGCCATTTGACCCAGCCTTTCTAAAAGTGTTTAGCTTAGAATTTAATATCTATATAAAATTTCACATCCTACTTCTTCCTATAGAAAGAATGATAATATATAGAAAAGATCTATATCGCTGGAGCGATAGCACAGCAGGTAGGGCGTTCGCCTTACAAGCGGCCAACATGGCCGACCCGAGTTCGATTCCTCCGCCCCTCTCGGAGAGCCCGGCAAGCTACCGAGAGTATTGGATATGCCAGACACAGTAACAACAAAGTCTCCAATGGAGACGTTACTGGGCCCGCTCGAGCTCGAGCATATATTATCATTTTATCATTATCATTTTTATATATATCGTTTTATATAGAAAAGAATGTTTTCTATATATTATATACATATGTACATATATATGATACCTCTCTACCGATGAGTGTATTGAAAGTTTTGAGTGCTTAGAGTTCTACATTTTACTTAATTTTGGTGTAGCTTTCTTGTGGCTTTCCTGCACTTGCTTGTATAAAGAATATTTTGGGGTGTGGCCTATATTGATATTCCCCAGAACAGTTTCATGAGACACTCACTTTGGGTAACATGAGTTGTTTGGCTTCATCTTAAGTGAGTCTAGAAAATAAAAATTCCAGTGTATGTACAGTTTGCAAAATCACAATGTTTATATGAAGCAGTCAGACCTAAGAATTCTTTGAGCTTAACAAAAGACTTCCTAGATGATGTGGTACAGTGCCCTGGGCTTCAAAGACAGGGAAACTGTGTCCAATATCCCACCACTAATACTAGGTACCAGCAGAGTCTGAGGAAGGGAATATTATTCACACAATTAGTAGTCTTGAAAGCAATTTGGCAGAAATAATGGAAGATGAATGGGAACAGGGAGGAAATTGCTTAGAAGTGAGACAAATGCAATAAGAAATGTCAAACAAGAGCACTCCATGATTTGTGTAATATGATATGCTAAGGAAACGTTGAAACCATGATTACATGGAAAGAGCCACTGGGGAAAGTTTAACTCTCCATCGTCAGATTCTAATGACCGAGGAGAGCTCTTAAAAAGCTATTTCATTAACTCATGAGGAAAGGAACCAAAGTCTCTGCCCATCAGACCCGAGCTCCGGGGCAGCCATGGGTAGGGGCCTGGCACAGGGCCGAGTGCAGCACACCGATAAGTCCTCAGAATGCATTGGGCTGGGTCTCTTTCACCAAAGGTAAGATCAGAGTCAATTAACCTCCTCAACACCGGATCCTTATCAGTGAAATAGGACCAGAGAGTGGCAGGATGATATGAAAGCTGTCATGAAAATCTTATCAGATTCCAAATACACACATCTCTATGGAAATGGGCAGGAGGAGCATGCTGTGTGTTTTATAAATGATAAAGTGCCTTCCACCTTCAAGACACTGTTACTCAGATCAGTTCTTTGATCATCATAAGCTTGTTTTTTTTTTCCCTCTTGTTTTGACTTTGAGAACTTTGTTGCGAGGACTCAGAAAACCCAATTTTCCAAACACCCGGTATCTCTAAGGTAAAATCTGTTATCAAAAGCTAGTATTCTTCTACAGGGTGGCAAGTGCTGTCACCCCACGTGATTTATTATATTCTGTATTCCACTAGATTATAGACTCCCCTTGGCCAGTTCCTTCATCACTTTCAATACGTAATTGTTGCACACTTAGTAGGTGAATACCACAGCTGGTCACAAGATTTATTCAGGTAAAAGTAATCAGAAACTTATTTTTAGCTGTCAGGCGAGACCATTTTGATGACTTATAGAGCAAAAACCCGAGACAATATAAAAGGGCAGCAGAGACGCCCACTAAAAGTGTGAACAGGGATTGCTGTGCCCATCCCTATTCTGATCTATCAGTATTTGAAAACAAGTGGGAGAATGCATCTCCTCACTCGGGTATTGTCTGATAATAAAACAATTTAACCTCATCCTGCTGAAGTGCAGTGTCTGCTGATAAAAGTATGGCGCAGAACTCTCTAGGAACCTTTGTGGGGTTTTTCTTACGCTCCTGTCCTCCATTAAAACTCCCCTGGGGCCAATTTTTTTCTCTTTCTCTTTTTGGGGAAAAGAGGAAACATAAGACATCGTTGCTAGAGAAAGTTGTGACAGTCAGACATTAGGGGTTTATTGAGCACTTAGATTTTAATTGGATTTTTTCTTTTGTGATGTCATTCATCATGGCCACTGTAAAAGGCAGAAGTTAAACAACAACAAATCAAAGGTTGTAGGCAGCCCCAGGCTTGTTTTTACTAATTTCAGTTTAATGTCGCTGTTCCATTAAGTGTAATCATCTGCTTCACTTTTAATGATTCACCATCAAGTAAAAATTAGCCTCTTCCCTCTGAAAGTCACATCTTTTTTGTTTTTGTTTTGTTTTTTGTTTTGTTGGGGTGGCTCAGTGCTCCTGGCTCTGTGCTTAGAATTCACTTTTGGTGGGGCCCTGGGGACTATAG